TGAGCTCAGGAGTTGAACTTACGAACCCGAATTCTTGTACAAGTGTATAGAAGCTTAGAAGAATTTCCCCAAAGTTTCCTCAGAATTTTAATATTTTCACCAGCATGCAAGTTGACCACTGTTTAGTGGTGATTGTGGCACTGTATGAGGAGCTCGGTGTTATTCATGGAAATCAGTTGTGACAGTAGGAAATTATCGATTCCTCGAATACAGTAGACTTTCTGTGTTTTCTTTATCTTTGTAGAACAGCAAAGGAGAAAGGCTCGTTTTCATGCATTGGAGTTTCACCCGTTTTACGTGAAGTGGCGTAATTCTCCTAGTCGCGGTGATATGCAGTAGTCGTGAAAAATATTTTTCACTAGTGTTTTTCATATCACTGGTGAAACTCCATTGTTGCCAGTGCATCATATGAAGCTTTGAAAAAAGCGAAGCGAGAAAGAAGGGCGGAATTTGAAAATTTCGAGCGGATGAAGACTGAGACAATGGAAGGTGAGCTTTACGTGTGCTTCGTGGGGTAGACTCTTGTTTCTACGTGGTATTCATTCATATGGAGTATATGGCGATAGTTGCGGAAGGCTTTGAGAGTTTCCTCACTAATTATAGCAGTTTACATACGAGTTCGGGTAGAAGTGTATACAAAAAAATGCCAAAATTTCCTCAGAACTCTCAAATTGTCATCAACACATGTAGTTGATCATGTGCATATTTTTTCACACTTGTGTGAAGAACGGAGAACCTTCCCGTATTTAGTGTTACGGTTTGATATCGAATATGTTACACTAGGAAGGATTTCTTTGTTAGAGCTAAGTCGAATGGAGGAAGAATTGGAGAAAGCGCGAACTGATATGGAACAAGCAAAAAGCCGTGCTAAAAGGCACACGGAATGTGCTGTTGCGTGTGAAAAAAGCGCTGACCATGCCATTGGTCGAGTGACAGTGGAGCAGCGAATACACGAGGTAGGCTTAGAGTCGGGTGAGAGTATGTGTCCTTGCAGGTATCGTTGGGACTTGATGAAAGCAATGAGAGATCACAAGAGCTGGAGAGAAAGAGGGAAGCATTACAAGGGGAAATTAACGATAAAGAACAGCTTCTAGGTAGGCGAATTAAGATCGACGAGTTGTGAACGTGTCGAACTTATGTGTACGCGTGTTCACGTTGGTCTGATCGCACTATGTCTGAAATGAAGGGTAAGGGTTTATATCACGTTCCATCGTCTCCATTTTTCCCAGTACTGTGCGAATTCATAAACCAAAGTTATTGGAATTTAGATAGCGACTATAACAACTAAGGGCTATACTAATCTATCTCTCATCGCACACAATTGTTGTCTCCTATGGTGTACCAGCTACAATATCATAAGGCTTTCACACGGTGGGATGTTCCCACAGTGAAGATCGATTTCATTGAGTGGATCGCACAGCAGTGTGGGAAAATACAAACATGGTAAATATATCAATTTTTCTCACGTTGTGGCACATATATTGTATATGTTCCATTTTCTAAAAAAAGTTCGGGGAGATTCCGATTGCTTTCTGTACACTCCTACCCGACTTCTACTAGTGAGTATACTCTCGAGGTCAGCCAAGGAAAGCGATGAAATATTCCAGCACTGAGTTTCAGAGCGGCTCTCGACTGAGATAGCCTCTGTGGCACCGACCTCCCGAATACGTAGCGTGCAGCAAGCGAAAATACGACTCTTTCGGCAAGAAGTGTTCGATGTGGGTCCTCAAGAATGACCATGAGAAAAAGCCAGAGTGTGTCGGCGTCAGGCACGACAGAAATTAGAGGAGTTAGATGGTAGAGTGAAAGTTGAGCACAGACAGCAGGATAAGCTCAAAAATGAGATGAATGGGTTGAACGAGGCGCTCGAGATGATAGAGAAGTTCAGTAATCGGAAAAAATTCGAAAACAGGTATGATGAAAAAGTTGTATCAATTTCAATGGTGAATTCCACCCGTGATTAAATGATCGATGAATTTTGGAAGTTCGGAGAACGTCATTGCCTCTCGATTGGAATAGATTACCACGATGGAGTTTCAGCCTAGTGATATGAAAAACACTAGTAAAAACATATCTCACGACTACTGCATGTCACCACAAATATCGCCGAGTTTTATGCCACTCCACGTGAAGTGAACACGTGAACAAGTGAAACTCCAATGTGATGGCGATGTGATTTCCGGGTTGGTGTGTTAGACTGGAAGTAGTCGAGAGACTGAGTCGTTCAACGGCCGCTTTGAAAGAGCTGAATAGTAAAATTGGTGAACTGAAGCCCGAGCTGGAGATTATCGATGAAATGGCTGTAAGTTTAGCATGATGTCGGTCATCCTGTTGTTTTATCTGGGCCTGGTTCCTTCCTTATATAGTGCGATGGAAACCATCGAGTGTGGGGTTTATATTTGGTTTCCTTACTTTTTCCATACATGCGACTTGGGGTAGAAACGAGCGGAAACCAATCCTGCAGAAAATTCTCATTGTCATCCTTTGTCTTCACGCATAGGCCTCGTCATGCATTATTCAAATTGTATGTTCGCAACGATGAGAGGAACTCGTGACCTGTGGGTATTATATCAACCGCTTATATCGTATCCCTGATACGGTCGTATGTTGCTGAGGAAACAGGAAGCACTCGCGCATCGATTGCTTATTGGTCGAACTGGACGATGCTGGGACAGAACGAGTCGTGGCGTTTCAGGCGGAGTCTAAGGAGCTCCTTGAGCTGGTCGAAGGGGCTCGTGTGAAGGCGGAGACTTTTATGCTGTATCCGGCATCTGATCGCGCGTAAGCTGTTCATAGATTATCAAAGTGTACATACGAGTAACAGTGTGGCGCTCGTACAGTGTGTGATAATCGAACTGTGACATTCCTCTCGTATGGATACTGTCTCATTAGGGTGGCGGAATCAGAAAAAATGGAGGAAATTTAGAAAAGTCCTCCGAACAAGACAAAATGGGTAAAATAAGGAAAAATGGAAAAAAATGTCCAAAAAGGCCGCAAAAAACTCAGAGCACCCGAGATATCACGGCGAATGATATCTGGGGTACATGACCATATATTATATATATAGATTGGAAATCAACCAGGATAATCTCCTAATACGAATGCATATTCCTATAGGTACTGTGCAAGTGTTGACAAAGATAGTGGAGGAAGGTAGGGTCCACAGATTGCCATGAACGGCTCTTCCGGGTTGTTTCAGGCACCATTGTGGGTCTTTGAAACGGAGCAGGTCGATCGAAAGATGGTAGGCTAGTCTTGGGAGTGTTCTTAGTGCACTAGAGTTTCACCCGTGATATGAAAAAAGATTAGCGAAAGTATTGTTTTACAATTCCCTACGCGACAAACGGGTGATTTGATAGAATTCACTCAGACAACTCTTCAATTTGGAGCGGCAGAGTTTTTCAACATTTGACAAGACCAGTGATCGCTTATATCGTAGCGTGCTCGTGCAGAGAGGAGAAAGAGGTGTGTTCCAGTCTGTCACTCTTTCTGAAGAGTATGCTCGATCATACAGAGCTGTTAACGTCATACCATCTTACAAAGCGAAACACCGAAGACAAGACAGCACGCGCGCGTTCCCGTGACGCGCCATGTCCCCTTCTCTGAGTGAAGGCGATCAGATCATCGAGTGTTTGAAAAGGTCGAGGTTCGATGGGCAAATGACTCTCCTGACTCGCCAACGTTGAGAGTTGATGGGGCTCACCATCCTCGTTGGATTTCGGACAGACTGTATGGGACTCTACCTCTGATACAGTGACTGTAGCATTCGTGGACTTCTCGTCCCAAAGCCGCATTCCTAGCGTAGTTCTCAATGACAAACTAAGGCTCAAGTCTTGAAGTTCATATCATCACCAGGTCTCCGGTGTCGCCGCGGACCTTGCGGAAATTCCAACACTATACGCAATAACAGACATAATTCGGGTGAGAACTACGCTATAAGAATGCACCAAGAGATGAGGATGGTTGATCATAGCTAATGAGCCTTCATGGCTCTACTTGTATCAGAACTTGTACTCACGCACGGACGCACACAAACAACCGCGAACTGCAATATGAACTCCGCTCGCTCCGCAGCTCGTCGGACGAGCCTCGTCCAAAACCCTGGGCTCCCATGAGCCAAATAACGAGGAAGGCGGTAGTCTTCTCTGTACATGTATCTTCATCTTCATCTTCGCGGATTTATGTGTTCTCTTCTACGCACGAGGGATGAAGTCCGGGATAAAGCCTAGGGCGAACCGCTGATGAAGTTTTACCTATCTAGAGAAATTTCATCTCGATGGGGTGTAGTTGATCATGAGTTACTTTCCGAGAATCTACCCGTCACTGTCGAGGTATCTCGAGGATGAATGGAGCTGTCTCGAGATTCCACTGAGATTAAAAAAAGAGGGATTCGAATGCATATCTCCAGTTGAAGTGAGTGACGATATATTGGTCTCGCGAGATAACGCGATCCATTATTTCCTCAAAATTTTAATTATCCGTATTCTACACCTGGAAGCATAAACTGTTGTTGAATATTGCAGCTGGGCTTTCTCTAAGCAAAGTTGCTAGAGCATGCCGAGCCCGGAATTCAAGTGGAGAGAAAGAGTCCTAAGCAATCAAATTTTGCTTAGGACTGAGTCGTATACTGTAGACCATAAATAAGTCTATCACTCCGTGATGTGGTATTCGCCTCGGGATGTCGCTGACAGTATCAGCGTCAACATCCGATACCCGAAGTGCCAGGTTGAAGCAATGGGCGCATTAGGGGAACCGATGGTTGTGTTATTTTATTCGCCATGGAATAAGAAATGCATGAACAGACTGAACGATCTCGTCAGAGTGGGAAAAGAACTGCGGGTGAGGTCTTGCGATATTCCAATACCTTGCGATGGTCGAGTTGTCAGGAGCTCGTTGTGTATGAATCGAAGAAAGTGCGTGTTGTCTTTGTGAATGTGGAGTCGATCGACTCCGAAATTGCTTCTGTCGACGAGTCTAGCAAGTTCATCTCCGATAACCACCTAGAAGGACGCTTATTGCCCGTGATCAAGCTGTGCAGGGCTTCAGAAGTATTTTTCTACGAAGGAACGTTGACATCACCGATGAGCGTGAGAGATTGGGTTGTGGACAACTGTTCTGGTGACAGTCACCAGGTAAGGGGATCATCGTGTTTATTTTCTGCCAGAGCGAGTTTGAGCATATGTGAAAACAAAATGAGTGCCATGACGATCACAGCATTTGTTGAAGAATAGACGATAATGTTCAGGGAAGCACCAGATAAAACAATAATTATTTCGCCCAATCGCGTCTCACAACATGACACTGCATATACTATATGCAGCATAATAAATGAATTAGAGAATTGGTCTTATCACGATCGCTATACCTCAAAACAGTGAGGCTGACGATAAATTGTCACATACCAGTGAGTAACACTAAAGTTGCTCTACCTGCCAGCACAGCGTTGCTCTCCTTACGCGAAATACACGTTTGTGGTTGTTTCGTGGCGAAGAAATGCGATACGAATGACTAACATTCGTGCGCGCGCGTGCTGCTGAGAAACTTGAATGCAATAGTACTTCAGAGCGTATTCAGTACGGATGCCAAACTGAGCGGAAAGGAAGTACAACCTAACATCAGTGAGAGCTCGAGTCTTCAATGAGGAAGATGAACCCCTCGCGTAGGTGCGCGCAAAATCGCGATGACGTCGAAATTGATTTATTCAATACCGTTCGTATCATCCGCCGACGGGGACAGCACGAGTTTGGTGAATGTGCGCGACCACAGTGTCACTCACAGGATGGCACAAGTGGGGGCGGTGACGTTGAGCATGTGGTTCAAATGCGACTCGGGGAAAAGTAAGCTGGACGCGGGGAGACCTGTCGAACTAAACTCTTACCACTGTAATGATGGCGTTAATAGTCTGAGCCCTCACGACGAAAGGAGATTTTCACTTCCGGTCGCAACCAACAACAGTGCGAACTAAACTATTATGCAAAATACTCTTTTCAAGATGTCCCGAATTGATAGTAAGTATCAATGACTTTTGAGAAGCACGATGTTGACGATAATAGTAGAAATTTCTTGGAATGACGGGATATGAGAATGAGGATAGAAAAAACATGTATGACTGACTGAAAATAGAGAGGAATATGCGGAAGTCATCTTCTCCTCTTCAACCATTGTCATTCATATTATCTGCCAGCTCAACTGCTCCCATGCAGTTACACAACCACAGACAGTCCTTCTAGCTCGGTACGCTAATTTCGGTACTTCAACCTTTTCGAGACTAGCTGTTACAGTGGACAGGCGAGTAAAACAGTTTAATCGAAATATATTTAGTATTCGAGAACTCATATTTCCCGGCCTCAGCGTCGCCTGATACTCCATTGGTTGTCGTATACCCTGGGCAGAAGCCACGACATTCTGGAAGGCTACAGTGCGGAGTTGCCCACTTCTAGAGAGGTGAATACAGCTTTCTTGGAATGATGCTTTTAGTGTGAAAAAATACGCACACGCTCAACTACATGTGTTGGTGACGAAATGAGAATTCTGGGGAAATTTTGGGAGATTCGTATTAGCTTCCATACATTGCTATCCGAATTCGTATAAAAACTCTCTTAGAGGAAACTGCTAAACTAAGTTGAAGAAAGTGAACATATATCCCAGCTTGTACGATTGCCGCAGTCTGAGATTCCCTGGAAGGCAATCATTGTTCTGTTCGCCTGGATGTCAGATGCCAAAGTCGGCATGGGTTCATTTAGCATGTTATTTCGACACTGAACGATCTACTCACAAGTGGTATTGGAACGGCGAAATGGACAACCATCGTGACGGTGGGAAGCATTTCCACGCACTGAATGTGAGGCTCGTGAGGTTTTGGTTATTACAACTGTTGCAATAAGGAATTAACAGTTTATTCGGATGGAACGCAAAATTGATTTTTTCGCAACAAGAGACAACGAAAACGACAAAGATGCTACAGCAAGACTTTTGTTGTACATAAAGCTCGGCTCTGTCACTCTCGCAGATCGGCGGCATTACTCAATAGTACTCGCAGGTCAGTAATGCACTCGTGCAGTCGGTGTTCTCGAAAAAGGATGCAAGTATCGCTGCTGTTGGGGAAATATCTGACCTGAAGATATTCCCCAGGCAACTCGACATCACAGAGATCAGTAAAGAGGTGAGAACTATGCACTGACCTATAACATAGGCAAACACGAGCGACTGACTCGACATGTTGCGTTATGTACTCACCCCGATGGGAACATGAACGTGTCACTGATGATATAACCAACTTTATCACTCGAAAATCGTTTGTTATTCATACCAGTGTTACGGAGTACCTTCTAGTGAGTTACTGTGATTGTTATATAGACGTGGAATTATATCGTTTATTGACGGCCTGCTGGGGTGCTTCCCTGTATCTACAGGCTTGGTCGGAAGCTCGTACTAATCTCAGTTTCGAAGAGGAAGACAGCAGTTGAACATGGGATGATCTGGATTGTATTGGCAGCTAGTGGTGTAAGCATGGCGTTCTCATCAATATTCTAAAATTGTCGTGAAAAGTGTGCAAGAGTATTGCTTATTGATTGTCTCTGTCAAGAACCATGGCATGATCGGTCTCTGGGTTTATCTCCTGTTGCGTATGACATCTTGGATCAGATGGGAGATGTGGTTTTCAACCTTTTTGTCGTTCCCGGAAATATGACCAATTCAAAATATATCTGAAAGTAGATAATACCCACTGGGTATGATTCGTATAACGAAGCTCGCGAAAAGAAAATAAATGGAAAGAGATAGAGAAAAAACCCAATTGACGGTATCATGTACTCAACACCCGAATCAATCTTAAATATCATCATAATTAATGAACTAATAATAGCTATTAGTAATAGCGTCGACGAGTTGAGTGCAGCGCATAGGAATAACCGTTCAATAAGTTTCGCGCGCACAGATGCCGTTGTCTATTTGGGGCATGTGTCACACAATATCTGTATACGATACCGTGGATTGAGCCTGAGTGGAGACACAATTACATACTTGACTAAGCACAAACTCGTAAGATACGGTCTAACATGTGGTAGCTTATCCAAAGGCAGTCGTCGATGAACAACGGTTGTGCCAGTCATCGCTTTCATCGGCGTACCCGTTCTAAGCCGAAAATGCTTGGCCCACTGCTTGTACAGATCTCATGGGAGCGCTTTTAGAGGCCCACCGAGAAGCTACTCTTAGCCATAGCCAATGCCTCCACAGTTGACACTATCCAGTTTTCTCTACTGCACATTTTTCAGCACATTTTGTTCGCCAGGATGACTCATATTGTCTGCTTGTTCGATCAATATTCTTTCCAATATTTCATCATATGTCTTTTGACCAATATCGTTCGACAATTATCGTCGACGAGTAACGCAGTAGATTGATGATATAAATGATATCTCCTCATTCGCAATTCTCTCCATTAATCTTTCCGTCATGTGGTTACTACTCGATCACTAGCACAGTGAAAATGCGATCGCCGTCATCAGTGTGATAGAAAAGGCGTGATATCTGCTATGACATTCTTTGCCCTCCACAGTTTGTCATTATAGGTTGTGTGTGTGAATGATCTACAGGTTCTTCTTCATTGCAGTATACGCAAGTGCAGTTCTGTTACTCGCTCCAAGTGCGCTGTTGTGTTAAACTATCGTAGGTATCGACTTCCTCGAGACTATAACGCAGTTACGATCATCAGTGAAAATAAAATAAAACTCAAAATATGACGGTCTCCAGTAGATCATCCTCGGCTTGTACGGGCCTGAACCAATACTGATCGATCCAACGATCGTTGAGATGGTTACGGTATTGGCCATCTTTGTGTACGCTTTTATCTAACGATGACTTATACGTCATATACCCATAATATGAAAAACACTAGTGAAAAACATATTTCACAGTTCGTCATTACTCACTGCTTCATTTCTATGAACAACTTGTCGAACATCGTGGAAACCTCCAAAGGGGTTCTGCGTTACCTCGCAAATGCACGAGTGAACGAACTGTGCCTGTCTCGTTTCTCGGCGATCCACCTTCTAATGTATAGTGCTTCAAGCCGACGACAGGCCCGTACGTCATCAGCGTCCTAACGCGGCAGCCGATTACATATGAAACGCATTTATGTTAATTCACCTCGTCCCTGGTGAACATCAAATCAGAGTGATGGGCGCCGGTCTCCATCACGAAGGATGCCACCGATTTCGGGCAATACATAACCGTACAGTCCACTCCTTGTGGAATCTGGTCTTCGCTAGCGGATACTGGGAAAAGAATTTATAGAATTACAATGGAGTTGACCATATGCATATCTTCCCACACTTGTTTCTAATTCGTTCAACTTCCCTTCAAATAATTTAGTAAACAACAAAGTCGTTTTTGTTATTAAAAATGCCAAACCTACCTCCCCAGGGATCGAACTTTCCATTCGAAAAGAACACATTGCTCATACTGGCCAGCGCGTCCGCCATATTGCGCAGAAACTGAAGGCCAGCCCACGCCTTGGTAGTGACGCCATACCTAGGAAAATCTGGGCATTATCGGGGAATAAAAGTGCCTACTTCTGTAAGCATTCTGCCTTGTAGTCATCTGGATCGAACTCACTCGGTGGCCAGAACATATCGCGATCAGTTCCCTGAGGGAAGGCAGAACACAAGATGGATGAACTAAACGTTATGCATTCACACGATGATGATAACATGAAGCTGCTATAGTAGAAGGACTTCTAAAACTCCGTGATTAAGTTGAAAAACTCGCAGATTTCCAACAAAGTGTTATTGATGATAGTTCTCTCTGAAACGATAGATATTATAAAAAACTTTTCCATGAATTTTCTGCGTGCAATACTGACTAGTCTCGAAAAACTTCATATCGAGATTGAATGCCATGCCCAACACGCGTTCAACCAAGGCAGCGGAAAGTATAGTAAAATTCACTTTGCAATGCAACACAGGAGGAACAATCTTGGCGATGGTAGCACTATTATTCACACGCTTGTGAGTTTCTCACCGAATCCTGCCCCCAAGGCATCTCAGTGCAGGTCTGAAAGCCGTAGTCACCTTTACACGAGCCTTCTGGTATTGGAGCTCCTCCACCGTCAGTTTCCCTGGAAAGTACGATGTACGTAGTACTTAGCAATATTCGAGGAAAAATTTTGAAGATCGCACGAAAAATAATGCTAGAAATAGCATCACTTGAAGTGAAGAAAAAAAACGTAATGCTGAATCAGCCCGTTCTTGTGGAGTATATCGTTAGAGTTTCACCCATTCGCGGTGTGCAGCAGTCGTGATTCACGACTATTCATTTTCGGTTTTTCATATCACTAGGGCGAAACTCCATTGATGTTTGAGATTTGAATTTTGATTTCGGTAGGATAAGAATTTTTTGGAAAGATGATATATTTCCATTCTGTGACAGAAAACTCGTTATAGAACATTTTGAACTTTCCTTATGAAAATTTAAGTTCGATTTTCGCTGACCGCTCCATAACAGAAGTTCAAATTCGTAAATGAAAATTTTAGAAAAGTTCAATTTACCTAACATCACCTCAATTTTCCTAGAAATACTATCCGAAACAGTATGCTTACGCGAACGAATTGCATGCAAGTTCACCCGATGCATTGTAGTATATACTCAACGACTCGGCGAGAGCTCGTATATGTGCCTGCGGTTGAGCCAAGACAGGAGATGAATTCAATGGGCTGCATGGTACAGCTATGCAGTGTTGGAGTATGGAAGCGTGATGTTATGTAAAAAATAATAATAAGCTAATATTATAATGGAATTTCACCACCCTAGTGATATGAAAAACACTAGTGAAAAATATATTTCACGACTACTGCATATCACCGCGAATATCGCGTTTCACTTTACGTAAAACTGGTGAAACTCCGATGCAATAATATAAAAAATATTATTATAAATTCTAAACGCTTTGTGAGTACTCGGCGTATGCGACTATACCACTTCGGAGCTCTCGTCAATGGTTGTCAAATCACTTTCACACTCTCCATAGTGGTCGACATGGAGAAAGTCCTTATCTACAGCGTTTGCAGAAATATAGCATTGGAAACCTCTGAGGCTTAATATTCTCACGCGCCACGAACTACTGGAGGTAGACAATTTCTCTGCATCACTCTGTATGTTTATACGAATTCTGATAGAAGTGCACAGAAACCAACGGAAATTTCTCAAAATTTTCCTCGGAAATTTCATTTTGTCACCAACACATGTAGTTGACCACGTCTATGTGTTGCGCCTGAACTCACGCCTTCCTTTTTAGTAGGCATCGTATCTAGGCGCTCGAAAGGTTCACACGCAACGCGAACCGGATGAGCCGGCAGATCTGCACCTCCTCCGACGTTCATTGCCGCAGTTATATAATTGCTGGGGAATGGAAAATTCCCTGATGGGAAATTCTATGGTGACTCGGTGGTGTCAGTGTCACCCATTGCGAGGTAGGCCCAAGGAGCGGTCGCCCATGCAACCATCTGGTTTGCCAGATCGGAGCTGTTCAGATGCGAAGAATTGTCGCACCATCTGAGATTAAAGTAGTAGTTATGGAAACAATCTCAGAACGAACCTGAGATTCGTCATAAGCATGTCTCTTCCGCGTTCAGTCTTGCTCATGTTATATATTAACTTCAATGCCGCGTTGAACCTTGGTTATGTAGATAGCAGTATAGGAATAGACGTTTGCTTTCCTCAACTGAGCTCGTAAGTTCCCTCACAATATCGAAGAAATTCACACGCGATTTTGGGTAGAAGTGTATATACGAGAACACGAGAATTTCCAAAAAAAGAGAACGAAACACAGAGAAAACAGAAAACAGAGACCAACGAAAATTCCCTCAGAATTTCCATATTTTTTTCAGCAACGCATGTTGTTGGCTATGTGCATATATTCCCACACTGGTGGATAGTGTCACCACGGGAGACCGTTCACCTCTGCGCGCACACCGGCCCGGCGTCACGAGTGATTATCTCGTTAAATGCGGTCTTGCTAGGCTCGGGGGTAACCCCGCCAATTGCAAATATGGGCGCGGATGCTGCGATCGCTCCGTCGATAATATGGGGATATCTACTCAGGTGAATGAATAACGTTATAAAATATGTATTCCTTAGCTGAGCAAATCAGTGGTTAACACACGAATTTCGAGTAGAAGTGTGCAGAAACCTATAAGGAATTTGTATATCTTCGCCAACATACGTAGTTCATCGCGATCGCTTTTCTCAACTAAGCTCAGCAGAAGTTAACACTCATGTGTGAATCTCACTTGTATCGGAATGCGCTTGCCAGCATCCCACCATAACTCCCCCCAAAAGCGATCGTCGCTGTCGAGGGTGACAAATCGTGTTTATCGAAAATGTAGTCTATCAGAACCTATCAGCGACGATGCTATTCGTGTATAAGTGTTAATCATCACCGAGTAGTCGGCTAACGCTTGCTCTATCGTGAGATAACGCAAACAGTCCGGAGTGCCGTCGCTGTAGACTTGTGTTTTGCCGTAGTAACGATGCTCAGCGAACACCAAGAAGGCGCCAAGGTCCGATCTAGGGAGGAGGAATGATGAAGTGTGATCTATCCCTTTCAGTAGTGTAGGAGTATATGCACATGGTCAACTACATGTGTTGGTGAAAATACGGAAATTCTGAGGAAATTTTGGGACATTCGTGTTGGTTTCTATACATTTCTACCCGAATTCGGTATATAAAATCCTATATCTCCTGAGCTCAGCTGAGGAAAGCGAACAGAAATCTCTCCTACACTTCATAGAGTTATGTATATACTACTATTGGGAAATCGTCTTTGGTTCATGTACGCGGCTACCCAGAATCGTGGGCAAATTTTCATAATAGTGAGGAAACTCACGAGCTCATTCGAGAAAACAAACATATATTTCCACACTGGTTGTTAGTGTTTTCGAAATACTATTAGTCTCTCGAGGAAACATCGGAAAACTACATTTCGATGCAAATTGTTTGCATTGAATGCAACGAAATTAAAATCGAAATTCGATACACCTAAACGAGTGGTCACTGTCACTAAAAATAGCTGACATCAGATTTGTTTCCATCGTGATATGAATAAATTATGGTATGCGAACAACCAGAAGAATTTTCATCAGAGTTTCACCAGTCTTATGTGAACTGGCGTAGAACTCGGTGAAAAACGCGATGTTCGCGTGAAATATGTTTTTCGTTAGGGTTTGTCATTAATACTTTCAAGCTAGGTGGATATAATCGTGCGTTAATAATTCACATTTTCAAATCTCTTCCACAAATTCTAATTACATACTCCCCCATTTTCAGCATATTCCTTGTTGTTATTGTTTTCCCCGACTCACCCGAGCTCCCACATGAGGCCAGTGTGATTGACATATATCTCGACTGGCCCCTCGTTGCCAACGTAAAAGAAGAGAGGACCACCGGGGCGGTAGAAGTCTTTGAATGTGAAGTATCTAAGAGAATTCGGATGGGAAAAATTTCCCCAGATTTTCTCGGAATTTTCATTTTGGAGTTTCATAACCCGTTTTACGTGAAGTGGCGTCGTAAAACTCGGTGAAAAAAGCGATATCCGCGGTGATATGCAGTAGTCGTGAAATATGTTTCACATATCACTAGGGTGGTGAAACTCCATTGCTACCAACACACGTAGGACTCAGAGATTGAACTCGAGTAAAAGTGCTGTACAGAAACTAACAAGAATTTTCATCAGAATTTTCATATTGTCACCAACACACGGAGGCCGTGACTCGGCTCACCTCTGTTGGAACTTGCCAGGATTACCCCCCTCACCGAAAGAAAAGTGGTCACGATCTTGCGTTATCCAATTTTCGATACAATCAGTGACAGTAGGTTGCCAATTCACCAAAGGCGCCGCAGAAGTGAGTTCCACGACGAGATAGATTAGTGATAAAAGCATTGGAAGAAACGCTCACTAGGAGTGAGTACGGGTGTGATGATGATGCTCATTCTTCCAGTGTAGTGAATTAACCTTGTACTTCATTATCCACAGAGTGAAAGTATATAATGGTTTCGTGAGGATGAGGAAGAAAGCCGAGTTACGATGATATGAAGATGAGTTGCATCCTTCTCAGTGGTTCTATCTACACCTTTTAAACATTTAGTTCGTCTTTGGAACCATCAATTTCGTCGGGACGCGCGAAGTTGGAGGTACGAATCCGAAACGGGAAGATCATAT